TCTCTCTCTCTCTCTCTCTCTCTCTCTCTCTCTCTCTCTCTCTCTCTCTCTCTCTCTCTCTGCCTGCAGCCTATGGATTATCCTAATAAAGCTCTCAGCTACTGCTCCAACACTGTTCCTGTCTGCTTCCCACTAAAACCAGCTTTCTCTGTCCCTTTAGTATATTAAGTCTGCTTGCTGTCTGACTACAAGTAGGAGAATCACATGGTCCAAACAGAAGTGTTGAACTTCTCTGGAAAATAAAAATCCTACATATATCATAAATGGCTCAGAATAAGACATAGAATTTAGCAACTGGGTTTGTTTTATGGCTGTGGTATTTACTAGCTGCAGAGTATCCAGAATGTCCATTTAGCCTCTCTGAGTTTCTTTTCACTGTTATAAAACAGTATAAAAATAGAGAGTCCATGCTTACTTTGTTAGGTGCCTGATAATTAAATGGGATCCTATCGTTAAGGCTGGAGGCCCAGCACAGACGATTCAGAAGGGCACACGACGGTGTCCCTCTGGCAGTGGGACTGTATAGACAAACTCAATCCTGAACTCACCCATGTATATTGAATGTTCTCTGTAGCTAAGTCTAGATCCTGTTCTGATTACAGCCATCCTCCCAGGGGACAGATCTAGTCTCATGTAGGTTAAACCCATCCTTTCCAAGCTGTCAGGGACACGCAGATAACATACAGTGTAAGCAGACAGATAATGTACAGTGTAAGCAGATGCAGCAGGCTTACCCGCTTATCTTAGGAGGGCTTTCTGTGACTGATTCAACAATCGGTAGTCTGTAAACATGGCGGACACAAGGGGCATTCCGATTCATTCATCCTTTCCCTCCCGCCAAACCTCCTGTGGAGAAGCTGAGTACTTACTGTAAAGCCTCTGGCCAAGCCAGACACATTTCTCCCTAAGGTGAATTTTTGTCTCCCTCACTACTTTAATGGCTGAATTAGAAGCTTTCTCTCATGTTCCAGGTTAAGGTGACATGTGAGAACTTGGAAAACTCATACTAAAGAATCAGAGGGAGGACTATAGTTGGGGCCGTGTTCCTGTGTCTGCTGCTGTGTCTGGTTGTCGCTGTGCCAGAGCTATGTTTCACAACCAGTACGACAATGGTGTCACTGTTTGGAGCCCTCAGGGCAGGATTCATCAAACTGAATATACAATGGAAGCTGTTAAGCAAGGTTCAGCAACAGTTGGTCTAAAAGTCAAAAAACTCATGCAGTGTTGATTGCACTGAAGAAGGCACAGTCAGAGCTTGCCACTCACCAGAAGAAAATTCTCCATGTTGACAACCATATTGAAATCTCAATTGCGGGTGTAACTGCTGATGCCAGACTGTTGTGTAACTTTAGGCACCAAGAGTGTTTGGATTCCAGATTTGCATTTCACAGACCATTTCCTGTATCTCGTCTTGTGTCTCTCTGATTTGAAGCAAGACCCAGATCCCAACACAACAATATGGCCGGAGACCCTATGGTGTTGGGCTGCTCATTGTTGGTTATGATGATATGGACCCTCACATTTTCCAAACCTGTTCCTCTGCTAACTACTTTGACTGCAGAGCTATGTCTATCGGAGCTCAATCAGCTCGTGCTTACCTAGAGAGACATATGTTGGAATTTATGCAGTGCAATTTGGATGAACTGGTTAAACACAGTCACCGTGCCTTAAGAGAAACACTCCCTGCAGAGCAGGACCTGACCACAAGAATGCTTCTATTGGAATTGTTGGTAAAGACTTGGAACTTGATGATGGTGATGATGATGGTGATGATGGTGATGATGGTGGTGATGATGATGTGTCTCCATTCCTGGATGGTCCTGAAGAAAGACCACAGAGAAAAGCACAGCTTTCACAGGCTGCTGATGAACCTGCAGAGAAAGCTGATGAACCAATGGAACATTAAGTGACAAAGGTTACAACGACACGAGGATGCAGGGACATACACTGGTGACAATAATCTGTGTTTTAAATCAACAACGGCAACATATTGGGTTTTGTTTTAGAAATCAGTCCAGATGTGAGTTTTCTCTAAGTAACTTCACAGAAACTATATAATGGGGTGCATAAAAAATATAATGGGGTGTATTTTCTTTGAAAGGGTCTACATAATCATTTCCTAGAAAGTATAAGTATGTATACCAATGTTTTTTATATGACAAAAATAAGTGCCTTTGCAGTTTTAAAGACAACTGTGAAATAAAGTTGTTTCACCAAAAAAAAAAAAAAAAAAAAAAAAAAAAAGAATCAGAGGGAGAGTGGTGAACACCTCGGAGAGAGACAAGGTGGAGAACACCTCAAACCCAAGCATTCAAGAGGCTGAGGCAGGAGGACTGTGAGATTTGGGGTCAATATGGACAATCCAGAGAGACCCTACCTCAAAATAAAAATAAAGGAGGGGCTGGGACTCGGAGATAGAACTCCTGCTTAGCACGTTAAGTCCCCGGTCCAACAGGCAACTCTGACAAGGTGGGAAAGGTGTGGCTAAGTGAGAGGGATATGCAAAAGGAAAAGAGAAAAGTTAGAAGCAACGTGAGCTATCTCTTTCCCCCCACACAGATATCTCCTCATTTCTCCACTCAGCCTGTACTTCTGCTCCCCCGACGCCCCACAAGCCGCTTGCTCGCTCTCCCCACCTCTCGTCACTTCCGCCCGACCAGCCTGGGGTCTCAGCCAAGGGACTGCAGCGGGTCATACTATTGGAGGTCAGCAAAGGATAGCTCCATTCTCAAAGCAATGGCTAGAGCAGGATGAACTTTTTCAGAGCCTCAGCAGGCTCTGTTGTACAGATGATGTCAGAGAAGATCAAATAGCCTGCAGCAGACAGCACAGCAGCCATGAGGAACATGTCCCAGATGCCTGTGATTCCTCACAAACCTTGACTCTCGGGGCTCCTTCTACCTCAGAGCTCAGAACTAGAGGCTTTTCTAAGCGGCACCCCCACTTCCCACATATTCAGCAATATTGTTTCTTCTCTATTTTTGGACCAACTTCTCTCTCCTCTTACGACTTAATCCATGATATAACTCAGGGCTCACTCCTATATCTTAACTACGAGGCAGGCCCAGACAGCCTGTGGTTATTCAGAAACTTAGAGCTCTCCAACACCTGTTTACACAGACAGAACCTGCCCAGCACTTGGTTTGATTCACACTAGACAGCTCCTGCAATCCTTCAGAGCTTGAATGGTCCCAAAGGCCAGTATGCTGAAGGCCTGGTCTTCCTGACACTGGTGCTTTGGAGAGGTGGTGGAACTTTTAGAAGAGAGCACTCGCCGGGCAGTGGTGGCGCACGCCTTTAATCCCAGCACTTGGGAGGCAGAGGCAGGCAGATTTCTGAGTTCGAGGCCAGTCTGGTCTACAGAGTGAGTGCCAGGGCTACACAGAGAAACCCTGTCTTGAAAAACCAAAAAAAAAAAAAAAAAAAGAGAGAGAGAGAGAGAGCACTCCTGCTATGATGTACTGTGTGGCAGAAGCAACAGGACAATTAATTAGTCACAGATTGAAACTCTAAGGCATAATAACCTTTATTTATTTTGGTATCTTTTTCTTTTTTTTTTTTAAGATTTCACTTATATTGTATATATGAGTACACTGCAGATGTCTTCAGACACACCAGAAGAAGGCATCAGATCCCATTACAAATGGTTGTGAACCACCTTGTAGTTGTTGGGAATTGAACTTAGGACCTCTGGAAGAGCAGTCTTTTTTTTTTTTTTACTTTTTTTTTTTTTTTGAAGAGCAGTCTTAACCACTCTTTTTTGTTTGTTTGTTTGTTTTTTCAAGACAGGGTTTCTCTGTGTAGCCCTGGCTGTCCTGGAACTCACTCTGTAGACCAGGCTGGCCTCAAACTCAGAAATCCGCCTGCCTCTGCCTCCCAAGTGCTGGGATTAAAGGCCTGTGCCATCACTGCCCGGCAAGTCTTAACCACTTAAGCACTCTTAACCACTGAGCTATCACTCCAACTTGATATCATTTTTAATGATATCTTTTCTTTTATTTGCCAGTTGCAAGTCTTTATTATTATTTTATTTACATTTCAAATGTTGTCCTCCTTCTTGAACCCTACTCCACAAAACCCCCACCCCATCACTCCTCCCCTTTGTCTCCTCCAAAGTGGAGACAGTGGGTGCTCCTCCACCCACCCACTCCCACCTCATCCCTCCAGCACCCCCCTTCTCTGGGGCATCAGCTGAAGGGGATTGTAACCTTATAGGAAGAACAACAGTATCAACTAACCAGACTCCTCAGAGCTCCCAGGGACTAAACTACCAACAACAGAGCATACATGGACCCATTCCTGTCTCCTGCCACATATATAGCAAAGGATCAGTGGGAAGGATGCACTTGGTCCTTTATTGTTTTTAGGATGATATATCTGATACGTGTTACAGTAACAAAAAAGCTAACACATTCACATATACTCTACTCAGAACTCAGCTGTGATTTAGTCGTGGTTTATGTATGACTTCTCTCCGTAGAGACTGTTCCCCATACTCTTAGCCTAGGCAAATCCTAGACACCCAGCCCTCCTTAGTGTCTCAGCAGCTCGGCCTCTAATCTCTGTCAGTTAGGTTCCTTTTGTATGTTAGTCTTACAGCTTTTCTGTAAGGATTTTTGGACCTCACTCTCCATCCTATCCTCCTGTCTCAATATTACCAATGACTGCAGCTGGAGAGATGGCTCAGCCCCAGTGTGTCTGCTGTATCTGAAGACAGCTACAGTATTCTCATATACATAAAATAAATAAATCTTAATAAAAGAAGAAGAATGCTTTAAAGATATATATATATATATATTACCAGTGTCCTACCTCCCCTAAGCACCGTCTCCATAAGCCCTACTTCCGACAGCGCCATTATGGGGCTGAGGCTTCCACATACCTCTGCATTCCCGTTGCAGAATCAAGCTCACACCCCGACATACTTCTTCCCATGCAGGTGGCTCATGTTATGCTTCAAAACAAACCAAAATGGTGGCAATGCTGGTAATCCCAGCCCTGAGGCAGGAAGTGGTAATAAATGCTGGTAATCCCAGCCCTGAGGCAGGAAGTGGTAATAAATGCTGGTAATCCCAGCCCTGAGGCAGGAAGTGGTAATAAATTCAGGGCCAGACAAGGGTGTACGGAGAGACAGACCTGTCTGTCTTCACAATTCAGCTCTCCTAGATGACATTTGAGTCCCCCTTCCAGACTGACTACAACATGCCTTGACATTACGGTCCTATATTATCAATTATTACAGTTAAGTAAAAAGACTTACTATGGAATCTTATAAACATTTCAAAGGTTGAATAATAAGGAATTCTCATTTTTGTATTACTTTGTTTCAGCAATTATCAATATCTGTTTTACTGACTCTAAGGATTTATTTCATTCTATGTGTATGTTCGTGTGTGTGTGTGTATGTGTGTGTGTGTGTGTGTATCAGATGTGTTCAGGTATCCTCAGGGTCCAGAAAAGGGCATCAGATCCCTCAGAACTGGAGTTATGGAAGGTTGTGAGCTGTCATATGTGGGTTCTAGGCACTGATCTGGGTCCTCTGCAAGAGGAGCCTGTGCTCTGAACTGCTCTGAACTGCTCTGAACTGTCTCTCCTTGTCATTGGTTTTACAGTGTCTCCCCATCTCCTTCTGTTCCTTCCTCCTCTCTTTCCACTCTCTGTCCCACCTTCCTTCCCTCTCCTTTTTTCTTTTCCCTACTCGTTTGACCTAATACATGACATGCTAAATATTTCCCTGTGAATCCTGGAAGTAAATGACATTCTGTTACTGGTTTTAGAGGATATTGGGGAAGGGAAACCAGCCAATACCACAAACTCAGGTCTGGTGGAAAGATACTTATTATGAATAACAACCAACATGGATGGAAAATTCCACTGGCTTCAGTCACTTGGAACAGGGCACAAAGTCCAAATAAATTATCACACAGCAGCTGGTATGCCTCTGGAAAGAACAGACTATAGTGACTACTTCTTTCTCACCTACCTCCTCTAGGCTATATGTCACTCACCAAGGAAGGGACCTCAAAGGCTATTACCCTGGACAACTGGCAAGACTCCATTTTGATTACAGTGTGAGGAAGGCTCCGAGGTGAGACATACCCCTAAATCTTAATTTCTAAGAATATCATCAAAGCTAAAATGATAAGTAAAGGAAAGTGGGCTGCATTATCTTTTTTAAAGATGAATTTTTAAAAATTATGCATGTGCATGTATGTGGGTATATATACCTGAGTGCAGGTACCCATGGAGGCCAGTAGTGAGCTGCCCCATGTGGGTGCTGGGAGTTGAACTCAGGTTCTCAGTAGGACCTGAGCCATTTCTCCAGTCCCTAGCTACACAATCTTAATAATACTGTTAATCGCAAGTGTTACCTGATAGATAGAAGGGGAGGAAAATATACCAAACTATTCAAAATGCTATCTATTGGTTTTGTGGGACTTTGAGTATTGAGATTGACCCCAAAGCCCAAAGCACGCTAAGCATAAGCTCCACCAAGGAGCTGTCTCCAGCATTGACAGTAACGGGCTTTGTTTGTATTTTTCAATAGTAGCAATATTATTAGTACTTTGTCTTTTTTTTTAAACTCTTTTGTCTATTTCACAGATTTTCTCAAAGGAGAACATATTACTTCCACAATCAGCAATAAATACAGGATTTTTATTAAACCACCTATGAAATTCAAGAAACATTATGTAGTTTAGAATTCCAGACTGGTAAAACAACTTAAATGTGTTAGCATTTGATTTCATTCTCAGTAGAGTTGTAAGTCTGGTCTATGTGGTTCCTTCTGATCTATGTGTGGCTTTTACAAAAAGAAAGGCAAAAAATAATAAGCAATAACAAAAAAGAAGTGTCCTTTTGAGGAACTTATAAAATGTTTGATTTGGGGCAATTTTCACGTTCTCTGAGTATCACACTCCCAAATAAAGGGATTGATAAGACTGGAGAGATGACTCAGTGGTTAAGAGCACTGACTGTTCTTCCAGAGGTCCTGAGTTCAATTCCCAGCAACCACATGGTGGCTCACAACGACCTGTAATGGGATCCGATGCCCTCTTCTGGTGTGTCTGAAGACAGTGACAGTGTACTCATATAAATAAAATAAATACATAATTAAAAAAATAAAATTCAGATTATTTATGAAAAAAAGAATTGATGTAACATCCTAAGGCAGATAAAGCACTTGGCATGATTATCGTCATTTGAATCCAACACCTCCTATATATTACAATTTCCCTTCTCATAGTTGATTGCCATCCAGCCAACCTCCAGTTACCCCTATCAGGGGTGGGGTTGGCACACTATATTTAGAGCAGTGTAGAGTCTACATTTAGATTACAAAGCTGGAAATAGCTTTGAGCTCATCCTGATCCAGTTAGAAATACAGCACAAAGGAATGGCACGTTGTTAGTTCTCAGTTGTAGTCACTGTGTGCCTGCCTGCTCATGCCACAGTGCACACGTGGAACTCAAACCCAGGGATCAAATTCAGGTCACCAGCCTTTGCCTAGTGAGCCATCTCCATGGGCCAAGTGACATGTCTCGACTAAGGTCACAAAATTACTGTAAATGTTAGTCTTAAAATATAATCCATAATTTCCAAGTCCAAGTTCAGGGTTCTTGGTACTGAATGTAGTATTTGTTTAGAGTAACTAGTGTTTTGAAATTTTCGGGGATAAGGTCCTATTATATGACCCTGGCTGGTCTCTCAGGTAACCTTCTGCTATAGCCTTTGGAGTCACTGAGAACTCTAGGTATGTGCCATCATACATGACTTAATAAACTATGCAGAGCTGAGTCCTCTACTAGAAAACAAACAAGGGAGGAAATGACACGTGCCCATATATGTATATAGTTTGTTTAGTGCCTTGTTGGAAAATTTTTTTTAAAAAAATATTGAATATATCCTGTAGAGTGAAAAATTATAGATACTGGGTATATAGAATCCTTTTTAGACATAAAATATTCTTTAGGCTTTCTTTACAAAGACATGGAGGCATGAAGCAAGTTAAGAATGTGGACAGACTAATTACGGGAACTGGCTAGAATGCAATTTAGCCAGGTGGAACCAAGCTGAGAACCATAGTGACAGGGCAAGGCCGAAGTAACAGGGCAGGACCACATTCTTGAGAAAGATAAGCGTACAGAGAGTTTTCACCTGACCCTGACTCCCGTAGGTTGGGTTCCTTTGGAATGTTCCACTATTTTCATGTTACACCACCCTAGCAACCTCTCACCCCCTCGCCATTCCTTGGTTTGTGGTTCTTCCCTTTAAAAACCCCTTTCAAACTGGCTGTCGGGGTCAATTCAGCTCCTGCGTGGGCATACGAATTGACCGGCAGCTAGCTGTCACGCCCTAATAAAATCTCGCAATTGCTCTGGTACATGGTGTCTCAAGCAGATTACTGGGTGATCGCGACTTTCTGAGATTTGAGTGAGGGTCTCCCCTCTGCGGAGGTCTTCAATCCAATCTCATTTCAAGATGGAAAAAGAATCTAGGTCATGGGGTTAGTCTAACTAAAATAATGCGTTGACTCCTAGGTTGCAGCTCATGAGAAAATGGACAAGTTCTCCAAAGGTGCTCAGTACGATATTTTTGTTTCAATATAGACCCCTCATAGACTTGGCAATTCCACTCAAGAGCAAAATACCGTATCAGCCTCAATTAGATCAGCAAACGCTCATTCGATACATTTATTTTAGAAGATTGTCAAGGCCTACAGACTTGTGGCATAATGAAACATCTTACCAAAGAGATTACTCCTTGCCATTCTATGAGACTGGTAAGTGCTATCACCTAGCTGAGCTTAACCTCACCAGTAGGCTGCAATCAGCACGTCACAGGGGCTTACTGCCTAAAGAGGCATGACTGGAGCCAGTCAGACTGGGGGCAGAGATGCGTGTGCAGATCTGGGAGTTGAAAGAAGTCAAAGCCCAAGCCTTTTTCCTTTCTTTCTAGCGACCTGCATCTGAGACCAAAAGAGTGAAGCCACCGTAGCCATTGGTGCTTTCAACTTCTGCTCATTGACTGAATTACTGAGTTTCTAAATGAGCGATTCCCCACATTTTTTGGGGGGGAGGGAGGATGTGGTCTCACATTTTGTCAGGCATATATTTAGTTCCTATACAGTTCTCTGGGCTGAGTGCTGTTGCTTTAAACAGGGAAAGCCAAGTTTTCAAGATGTCTCATGAACTAACCCTAAATCACACACCAGGAGGAAAGAGGAAGAATTCACACCCATATTGCTTTCCAGCATGGCTTGACCCAAAGCTACACTGCCCGTCACAGCCTGTACTGCTAATTGCTTAATAGTTTTCCTTAAAAAGAATTCCTGTCTTTTTGCTAAAAAAACAGAAAACTGATGATACAAGTGTAACCAGCTAATCTAGAGGCTAAAGTTTGCAGACTGGAAGTTCAAAGTTGACCTGGGCTACAAAATGAGTTTAAAAGTGGTAGAGTTGGGAAAGATTTCCCTTCTGTCTCTTGTCCCCAGAGAAGGCAGCTGCAGTCTGGAGGGATGCTATAGTCAGGAGGGAAGAGATAGCCAGGCTGATAGGCAGAAAAATGTTCTAAAAGAGCTCCATTCGCTCTTCAGACAGCCTTCTCTAATCGCTGCTAGAAAACATTCTAAAAGAGCTATGTCAGTTTTCTAAGTAATTCTTGGGATTTAAGGTCAGAAATCCTGCTAGAAAAAATTCTAAAAGAGATATGAAAAATTCTGAAAGAGCTGTGTTCACTCTCTATGAATTTTCCAACTAGAATCAGAAATCCTGTTAGAAAAATATTCTTGAAAATCTGTGTTTGCTCTCCAGAGATCTCCAGACCGCTCAGCTCTTGCTAGAGAAAAATTCTAAAAAAGAACTGCTTTGTTCTCTGCTGGTTCATCTCATACAGACCAAAAGCAGTCTGTTATTTACTTATCGATTCAGTTATTTATTCCAGGCTCCCTCTTGACATCCCCGAATTAGCATTCCATGACCTTAGTCCCTTAACTCTTGGGAAAAGGACAGCAAGCACCCCCCCCCCTCCTTTTTTCTAACATTGCAAAAGAATTCAGAGATCTGCTTGTCTTTGTAGAGTTAACTGGGTGGGACCTTGTCCTGAGATTACCATTCTGACCACACCTGGACCTAAATTAGCTCTGTCCCAAACTGACCCTGAACTCAGGAACGTGCCGCAGTAGTAAGCATAAACAACAACAAAACCTTAGCTGGGTGGGTATTGTCCCGTAATCAGCACTCCCTAAATCTCCTTATCTCCTTCCCTAGTATCTGACAAGCACTTCTAGTCATATTCCCTCGATTAAGGAAGTATTTGTCATTCCTCAGATTATGACTTGCTTGTTTCTATAGTGTGTTTAAAGCACCTAATAGCAGAGAAAAGCTTTGTTATAATGCCGTCATTAAAATGCTCTAGCCTTTGCTTCATTGGGAAAGACTGTTCTGTTCAACCCATGCCTTGCATGGACCCTTCCTGTCACCCACAAGACCTGCCAGGGATTGTGAAGAATTATGATTGGGATGGTGGCTCCAACAGGCATGAATTTAGAGATGGCAACAACTACAGACACAAAGTTGGCACAGACTGTCCTTTAGAAAATATAGGAAAGGAGAACAGGAGTCTAGGGTTAGGACATCAAAATAAAAACAAAATGATTCTTACTACATTTAATATAATCTAATAATATCTATTAATAAAGGAACTTTGATTCAATCCCCTCTCTATATTTAACAATTTTTAAATTGCATTCTTATTTGTTAGACATGTGCTTATCCACGTGAGTGTGCAGAGGTCACAGGTGAACTGGTGGTGGCTGGTTCTCTCCTCCACTATCTAGGGCCAGAGGATTGAACCTAATTTGTTAGACTTGACTCTAACTGCCCTTTCCCACTGACCATCTCCCTGGCACCCATATTTTAATTATATCCCTTTAAGTGCTTTAAAATTGTACACTGTTTCTTAAAAGATGGTGTGTTACAATTCCAGAGTAGCCCTAAAACAAATCACTAATTAGTTTTAAATTCCAGGTTGGGATCGGAAATTAGGCACGGTTTTATCGAATCCTAGACCAGTTAACTCAGTGCCAGAAGCCTATTGTTGTGGAGACCGGGGAATCGGCTTTGTGAGAAGCGCTTTTTAAAACTAAAGTAAGTATGGAATTCCAAGAAAACAAACTTGAGCATTTTTTAGTGACTAAATTAACAGTAACAACACTGTCTTTAAGTGTGTATACAGATGGATCTAATCCTAAATGAATTTTTTTTTTTTTTTTTAAAGATTTATTTATTTATTATATATGAGTACACTGTAGCTGTCTTCAGACCCACCAGAAGAGGGCATCAGATCTCATTACAGATGGTTGTGAGCCACCATGTGGTTGCTGGGATTTGAACTCAGGACCTCTGGAAGTGCAGTCAGTGCTCTTAACCACTGAGCCATCTCTCCAGCCCCCTAAATGAATTTTGTATTGCAAATTTTTTTTCAGGGCAAATTGTTTGGGAAATCAAGATCCAACCTTGAGAACATGTCATTTGTTGAGGGGATAGCTGTGCTGTACAGTACAGTGCTTGCCTGCAACACTACCACATAAACGGGAAAATAAAAATGATGTCAATGTCATAATTTGTCATAAGCTGTTAGCATCTTGTTGCTGGTGTTGACCAACCCAACCTTCTCAGTAAGTGTTCATCCATGGGGTCGGAGATTATACAGTAACTTCTCAGTAAGTGTTCATCCATGGGGTCGGAGATTATACAGTAACTTCCTGTACTTATAATTATGCCATTATTACATATACACACAGAGAGGGAGGAAGGAAGAGGGGGGAAGAGAGCGAGAAGGGAGAGGGAGAGAGAGGAAAAGAGAGAGCCAGAGAACTGCTCAAGGAAGAAGACTGGGAGACAGATCTGTAGTGGAATTTAGGACTAGTAAAGAGTGGGACTGATGACCATCTGTTTACAGAAGAGTTAACTGTAGCTGCTAATGCTAATTACATCCCCTAGAAAACTGTTTGCCCAAGAATGCCTGTTTGAAGCTTCTTGGAACATGCCCCCAGTTGGTTCTGATTGGTAAATAAAGATGCAAACAGCCAATAGCTGGAGAGGAGGACAGATTTTAGGATTCCTGGGTTTGGGATGGGAGGAGGAAGAAAGAGGAAGGAAGATCCGCCTTGCTGGCAGAATGTGAAGGATAGGAAAGATGCCACGCCTGAGAAGAGTGGGAGACAGAGAGGTATCACCTTCATGTGAAGGAGCCGGGAATGCATGGCTTAGAGGGCTGCCCAGCTGGGTTCGGAGCAGCCAAGATAGAGCCAGGATAGAGCAGTAACTCAGGATTAACGGCGTGGAGGTTAGGCAGCAGCCTAGCTATTGTGCTGATTAAGTCCTATGAAATACAAAGGCTGTGTGTGTGTCTTTCATTTGGGAACCTAGACCATTGGAGTGGGTATCGAACCTGCTGCTGGGATTTATTACTAATTTATACTACAGTTTAAAACATCCTTCTCAAAGCTACCAAGTTACCATGCAACTTAAGCTGTCCATCCTGAGCTGTTACCTGACACAAGGGATGAGTCCTGATGGGAACTTGATAACTAGGCATCAACTCCTCAGGAAAAGAGATAAAGGGTCCCAAAGAAAAAAAAAATAACCCCAAGGAAAGGAATCCTGCATTCTGGGTGCTGGAAGACACTCCGACACCTGATACATCAGTTGGCTTCTCACTCAATCCCCCAAAGTGTAGCCTTTCTGTAATAAATTTCATCCAAGAATGTGGAGTTCCATATAGTTTCAGCTGCCTTCGTCTCTAACATGGTCAACTAGGCAGCACCAGGAGATTTGAAAACTAACACAAGAAAGACTAAGCCCCAAATAAAATCCCAGTCCGTCTAGAATAGAATTCAAGGGATACAAAGGAAAGAAAACAAGTGTAACTGCTTGTATTAGAGAAATAGATTATATATGAATCAACATTATGGGTGCTATATATGCAGATGTATGATGGCCTCAGTCGTGTACTCACAGAGATTGAGAAGCCCTGTGGTATGCTATCTATCTGCAAGCACCCCTGAAGGCTGTGAGGTTCCAGCCCTAGCCCAAAGTTCTGAGAACTTGCACGGAGAGTACTGGTGTGTTAAGTCCTGGTCCAAGTCTGAAGGCCTGGTTCAGTCCAAATGAGTTTCCTGTATTTAAATACTTAGTCCCTAATTGGTGGCCCTCCTTACGGTTACAGTTCAAGGTGGAAGCTCTCAGCTACCAGGCTTGCTTGCTTGCTTTTCTTGCCATACTCTCCCATCAGACTCATCCCTTTGTGTCAGGTTGTGGGGAAAATTTAGAGGCTTCCACGATGCGGCGGGTCCCACATTCGGGAGGAATCCTATGGTTCCAGTGGCAGGCCCCAATGACACGAGGAAGTCCTTGGTTCCAGAAAGGTTTATTGTCATGGAGGATAGTGGATGGATCTAGGCGTACCCCCCAGAACTCAGAGCAGTCCCGGGTTATATAGGGAGGGAGAAAGGGGGAGGATCTGGGGAAGGCATGTTTAATTTGCTCTGCCCTCTGGCCTTCATTAGTATGTAAATCCCTAAGGCCTGAGGCCTATAGTCTGGCCTATGTGACTGAACAATGTAATTTTATGAAGACATGACTGCTTTTTAGGACCTTGGATTCTGGGGGGCGCCGAACTCCTGCCGGTACTCACGCAGAGTCTCGGGGTTCTAGGCACCTGCTCAACCATGACCCAGGATACCCTCACACAGTCCCACATCTGGAAACAGCTCAGGATGGACAGCTTAAGTTGCATGGTAACTTGGTAGCTTAAGGTCAAACATTCAGTCTCTATTGAAGCCCAACAGCAGGCTAAGAACTATCTGAAAAGGAAAGTAGTTTTCTGCAAGAAAAAAGGGTCTGGCCGGGCAGTGGTGGCGCATGCCTTTAATTCCAGCACTTGGGAGGCAGAGGCAGGTGGATTTTTGAGTTCAAGGCCAGCCTGGTCTACAGAGTGAGTTCCAGGACAGCCAGGACTACACAGAGAAACCCTGTCTCGAAAAACTTTAAAAAAAAGAAAAAAAAAAAAAAAGAAGAAGAAAGGGTCTGGCTCTGTGTTCTAAAGACCTGTTCTGTGATTCTGGGCCTGCCAACATCTTTAAATAGCGTCCCTGTTTGCCACAGACAAGTCCACTGGATCATGTGGCCTTAGTGGTAGGGCAGCTTGCAGAATAGCCTGGATGTACTATAGAGCATGTTCTTGTCACGAGCTCAACTTAAACATTAGTTTTTGGTAGTATGCGAGTCCATGAGAATTCCCCCCCCACACCAAAAAAAAAAAAGGAAAAAAAAAGATGAGAATTCCCTTATTTCAATCATTTGCTTGGCAAAATTAGCAGCTTGAAATAACAAGACCAAATGAGGAATAAGTTACATATAAAATAGAAAGAGGCCCAGTAGGCATGGCTTACCGGGTGGAGCCTGATGCAACAACCTAACCTTTCCTTTAGGAGGGCTATCTTTTTGAAGTTTTATTTTTGCTGCACTTTACTATTTATTATTGTGTGTACATGAACATGGGGGCATGCATGTTGTGTGCATGGCACACGTGTCAGGTCAGAGGACAACAGTTGGGTTAAATGGGAATTCCCATGTCTGCCCTGCCACAGGGCTAAGGCCACTGCTCGGGGAGACAGGACGCAGGACTGGACGCAGGAAGTTTGACTGCACCCCACACTGGTGCTGGGCGGGTGCCAGGAGAGAGAAGCTGCTGCAGGGACACTGGTCTGGGAGTGGGGGAGTGCATTATGAGTTGGGGGAGGGGAGCTGAAGCTGGCTCAGGGTGGGAGGTGCCTCTGGGCCTGCAGGGGGACCAGGGTCTGTGGTTCTCAGGCTCTTGGGCACCCAGACACCTCTAGAAGCCGTGGAAGAACTGAGAACGCATGGGCATGGGCTGGAGTGGCCCACAGCTGAAGGAGAGAGGGGGAGAAAAACTCCTGCTGTGCTCTGCAGGGAGAATCCTTGGTCTGGGCAGTCAGCTGGCTTGGGTTGGTGCTCGCTGTGGCTGGGAAAGCAGAGAGGTCTTCTGCGGGAGATTAGACAGTGCCTCTGTAGACAAAGGCCTCCTCCATTGTTCCCCATTGTGGAGAGAGTCCATGGTTTTAAGTTTATTGTCATGGCGAAAAGTAGATGAAAAACTATACCCCAGTTCTCAGGGCGGGCTTGAGGTTAAATACCTTTTGCAGGGAGGAGTGTCTGGGAAGAAAAGGCTAAGCCCTTCTGGCATTTAGGTACCTCATTAAAATAGAGATCTGTCTTGAGGCTACATGGCCTGTAGTCATGCCCTCTACCTCTCTACCTGTGGAGGGCCTAGGGGACATTGCCCTACGTGACTGAAGGACACAAATCTATGGAGGGTTGTGGTTTTGTGTCAGGAGCCTAGAGTCTGAGGGCATGGCAGGAGCCTGGCGTCTAGGGGCGTGGCGAAACACCTGCCATCCCTTAGGGTGTGTGTGTGTGGGTTTCCAAGCCTTTGCTCGACCAGAAACCAGGCTACCTTTCAAGGTCCTACAGACAACTTTGTAGAGTCAGTTCTCACCTTCCACCTCTACATGGTTCCAAGGACTGACCTCGAGTCATCAGGCTTGTACAAGAACTCTCGTGTAGCATGTAGTTAATGCTCTACCTGCCTTTAGCTCCAGGATATGGCCGCACTACCAGCCCCTCCCAGCTTCCTTTCAATCCTCAGATAAAAGGCACACACAGTTTTTCCATTACAACTTGCCTTCTTGGCACAATTGGGGGGCACCACTATCTCCCAACTGGAAAAGTGTGCCCTAATCAATGCCGTATCCTCCCTACCTGCCCTAAACTTCAGTCGCTCACCCACCCTGACCACTCACCTGTAGAAGCAGCCTGTGTGGCCACTCCATTTTGAGATCCCACATGGTTGTCTGGCTCTCTTCTCTCCAACACATGATGAACTCCATTCTCCTTCCTTTCCTCCAAAGTCCCGCTTGTACCTTCTGCCCAGCAATTGGCCCACAGCTTTCTTTACTGACAGATCAAGAACCAATTGGGGAACAGGACATTAGTATCGGCACTGCCTCCTACATCCTTGTCATTCAGCTATTTCACCAGTCCAAACACTGTCTTG